ATGCTGTGAAACATTCTACAATTCATAGGTTAGTTCCCCACGACCAGGAATTACCCAGTCCCAAATGTCAGTAAGGTGGTGGATCTAGAGGAAAAGCCCGGATCTGGGTATATGAAGGCACAGATGTAGGAAGGTGGACAGGCGTGAGGGGCACTTGGAGAAGCTCTCTTCTGATTGCTTCCATTTTTTTTTTCATTGAAATGGGAAGCAAGTTCATCAGCTGCAAGATTGGGGAAGGAGGTACAGGAAGTTTAGGGAGCCAAGATATGACACTGCCCTTTAGGAAAGGTAGACAATGAATGGGCAGGGGTAGTGGACATGTTTCTGGGCTGCATCAAGGGCTCACTTGAGGTAAGTAGTCAAGAACTGACTACAAAAGCCACAGGCCTGAATGTGTGTTCTTCCTGAGGCCACATTCAGGGGTGGAATAGGGAGAAAGTTGAATTTAGCAGACTGTGGTCTTGCCACAAGCAACAAAAAGGCAAATGGGTGATAAAAATGACCACAGAACTGGAACAGAGTAAGAAGACAGAGGGATTCAAGCAACAAATATCCATTCTAATAGACTAGTTTCAAATATTTTGAACATGATGAGCTGCAAAAGGGGAAAAATAAGGTGAGCTCTATCATACCAAGATAATGACTCACTTTGTTTAGCAAATACTTGAGTAGTCATTGAGAGACATAGTACAATTGTTTCTAAATGAAACCAGGTCAACTGAGCTTCCTAAATCAGCTCAGTGTTTGAGACTGCAGTCTCTCTGGTGGAGTTACCCTCCACCAGTGAAGCCAAACACTGGGGAAGCCACACTGCACACATGAGAAATCAGAGGATTCAAAAAACCTTGAAGTAACTTGTAGTCTTTATTGACTAGTTTATGTATGTGTCTTACAGTTGTTGAGGTGCTTATGGGCATACCTGGGAGTGTCGGGCCTCACAAATCCAACTGAACAGACTGAAGTGGCGGGCACAACTGTGGCCATCTCAGGCACTATCGAAGATTCTGGTGGTTCCAAGGGAAATTTATCAACAGCTGTTTCCACAGGTTCTTGGTTCCTGCTTTTGGGGATTTCATTCAAAAATCACAAAAGATAAAAAAGTATCCATTTCCTCACTGGCATGCATACAAAATAGTACAAACCATGGCACTCTTATGGGAAAAACACGTAGTCTTTGTGCACATGGGCCTCCTGAAATCACTTAGATGTCAGAAGACCAAGTATGAGCCCAGCCCTGCCACTCACCAGCAGAATGGTCTCAGGCAAGGCACTCAATATCTTTGGCTTCAACTTCTTCAACTGAAAAAAAGATAGCAATATTTGCTGTGGTTACCTCATAGGAATGTATGTGAAAGTGCTTTGTAAACCATATTGTACTTCATTAATTATAGAAACTGTAACTACACCTCGAGGGCAGCAGGGAGTGGAACAAAAGTCTCCCTCTTTGTCAAAATGGAGAAAAGCAAGAAGGGTTTCTCACTAAAGGCAGAACCCTGTGTTGCATGCAGCAGAGGCACACTAGCTTCAGTTCTACATGGAGTGGACATGTGGGGAACTAGACCAAAGCTTGTACTTGGTGAACGCATCCTTATTAGCCAGGGCAGACAGAGAGCTGGAGGGAGAGCAAAGCATTCCCTAGAGACGCAAACCAAAAACACAATATAATTTTAGGCCCAATTTTTGGCGGGCTTGTTTTGAACTTGTAGCAGTTTGTAAACAGGTGGGATATACTTATTACTGAGCATCTGGGACTCATTAAGACTAACTGACTCTTACTACCTCCATTTTCCCACCTGGAAAGTAGGGGTAACATTTAGATCCAGAGGGGAAAGTGGGGGTGTCTAGTCCAACCCATGCATTCCATCAAGGAGGATACTGAGGCTTGGGAGGTGAACTGACTTAGTTCAAGAGTACACAGCCAGTGAGTAGCCAAGAGAAAACTAGAACCCAAATTATGTCCCCCAAATTAGTGCACCTTCACACACCTGTTTCTTTCACGGAGTTAGCTGAAGGGGTTGCTTTCATACAGTAAGTATGAAAGTATTCTTAACAGAAAGTATTCTGCTAGCTTCAGAGGAAGAAGTCAGGGAAAAGACAGAGGCAGCCTTCAACCATGTCCCACTCAGAGTTTAAAGATGCCCTCCCAACGGTTTTAAGTGGTTCTCAAGCTTGATATGATGGTGACAAAGATCAGTCCAGAGGCACAGGGGCGGAGAGTGGGGTCGGGGGATGCGAATAAATGGCACTGACAATGAAAACCAAGAAGGAAACCATACAGGTACTCTTTGCATTGGAGGGCCTCAGCACCATATTATAGGGACCACAGTTCTGGAAGCACAGCATCAGGTTCATGGGTTTAGTGCTCTGAGGTCACCGTTTTGGAATTCTTAATAACTTACAAACAAAAGGCCTGGCACTTTTTATTTTGCATTGGGTCCCTCAAATTTTGTGTCTGCTCCTGCTTCACACACGCCCCCATCCATAAAGAGGATGGCTTGCCTACACCACCACCCCAACCCTACCCCACTTGAGAGCAAAGAAAAGCCCTGCAGTGTTAGGCCCTCTCCGGAGAAGGTTGTGGAAAAGGTCAGGAAGCCCACATTCTGGGCCAAGAAGCCGACTCACCAAGGGGCCTTTCTCAACCCTGGCAAAATAAATGCCGATATAAAAGTGACCCCCGCCTCCTCAGCCCATCCCAGACCCCACGATGCCTGAATCTTGGGCTCCCAATAGGGTTCCTGTCCGCCCTCCAAACCTCCAGAAGCCGCTCAGTGTGCCCGTGGGGAAAATGGGGAAAATGTGGACCCCTCACCAGCTGAGGGAAGCTGCCAGAAGGGTCTGTGCCCTGGTCAAGGTCTGCTTCCGCCCGCCGGGGCAGCCTCGCCATCGCCCCGGCCGAGGGAAAGTTTGGGGACTGCTGATTAGCTGGGCAGCGCTCCCCGCCGCTGGGAAACCTAGTCGCAGGGAGAGCCAATTCGGCACGTGGGGAGAATCCTAAACGTTAGAGCTGGGGCCGAATCTTGGGAACGAGGCGGGGCCACGGCAGGGGCGGGGCTACAACGGATAGGCTGACGCCGTTGCTGAGCCGAGACTATGACTTCATGAACGACACCCCCTTAACCAGCGGAGGTTCCATAGTGTAGTGGTTATCACGTCTGCTTTACACGCAGAAGGTCCTGGGTTCGAGCCCCAGTGGAACCACAGCTAGGAAGCTTTTCTTCGCTTTCTGTTTTTTAATATCCATTGAGGGCTCCGGGAGAAAAGATAAACAGCAAAAACGAGGTGCTTTCTCTTCCTCTCTTTAAAAAAAAAATTTCTTTTTTTTAGAATGCTTTTATCACAGAAGCGTCATGACAGATACCCGGTTTCTCCCATCCCGACAGCCATCGGCCCAACTGAAAAACAGCAGAGGTGGGGGCCTGGCAGTGTTGTAGTCTGAAGGGCATCCTTGGCCCGCTGGGACCTACCCCCACCTTTCCTCAGGTGCTCCAGGGCGGCCTCGGAAAATTGAGCGCTGGAGGGAAGCAAGACTACCCAGCATGGCCCTTTCCCTGGAAGCCAGGACAGGCCCCAAAGCCTCCAAATAAAATGTTGGCAATACCACAGTTCTTTTACGTTCAAATATTAAAGGTTTATTTCTTATTATTGTTATTAGAGGTTTAATTTTTCATTAAACTTTAAAATACAGAACGGGAAAATAGTATTTTTCTTATAAAAAAATAAAATAAAATACTCCTTTTAACTCCTTTTAAATACAACACTAGAGTTTGTTGAATAGACCTTCGTCTGTTTAATGAATCCATACACAGTACAGAGTAAATGTTAGGTTTGTAGACACCCAATAAATGCTGTTTGAACGTTTCTCTAGTTCTCTTTTGTTCCTCTTTATTATTTCATTATACTTTCATTTTAAGGAGTTATTATTATCTTTTTAATGTTAGCCTTTTTCTTCCTTGACAGGAGGAATGAAGGTAAGGTGGCTGGGGTCCTGGGGGCTGACATGGGACAGTGGTGGCCAAGAACTAAAAAGGGAAGGAGAAACAGTCTTTTTCTCTGCATTTTTCCACACAGTTTTGCTCATACAGTATGTATTTTTGTGTCCTTTTCTAACTGGAGAGTATGACACATGATTGTCCCTGTTATTACAATCACTTCATTAACTTTTAACTTTATTTTTTTACCATCTTAACCATTTTAAGTGTACAATTCAGTAATGTGAATTATATTCACTGTTGTGAAAAAGATCTCCAGAACACGCACACACACACACACACACACACACACACACACACACACACACACACAGAGCCATTTAAGTCTCAAACTAATTCTATGAAGTAGGCATCATCATTATCTATCAGAAAGTCGAAGCACAGAGACCTTAAGTAACTTGTCCAACGTCACATAACAAGTGGTTGAGCTGGGATTTGCATCCAGTCTGGCTTGGGAATCTGCTCTAAACCATAGCTGTTGCTCTGAAACCCCAACCTTGGCCACATAGATCCTTTCCAATTTTTGTTATTATAAATAACACAGCAATGTACATCTTTTTGTGTAGCTGTCCCCCCCCTCCCGAATTTAGTCTTTTCCCAAGTGTGAATAGGTATGATGGATCTGATGCCAGGTTGCTTTCTAAGAGGGGAATCCACGTCATTTTCACAGAACTGGAGGATGTTAGTGCTTACATGGCAGGAAATTGTTCAAGGTCACCCACTAGATGATGGCAGAGAAAGAATTAAGACCTGGGTCTTCTGATTCTAGTTTCCATTTCTCTCCACTGCTTCCCTTACGTTTAAAGACAGAGTAAAACCAATATTCTCCTTTGCTAAATAAACCAACCTCACTTGACATTAGATTCTTCTCTAAGACTTCCTTGTTGAGGCAGGTAATATGTGGGTTAACTTGGTGGGGCTCAGCCAAAGCCCTAAGTAAACTAAATGCATAAGGTGCTTAATGAGGCTAGTGCTTAAGTTAAGCTCCTGCTACTGGGGAAGCTCTCCACTTGGATAACATAGAACTGCGGCCAAGGACAAGGGGAGAATGCCACGCCAGATAGAAGGCTTCTTGCTTTTACTTCTGTTTGGCTATGAAGGTATGTATGTGCTAGCCAACCATTAGCACTCATTAAATACTTAATAAATTGAATTAATGATACAGCTAGTTAATAGAAATGCAACCTGAATGATTATAATACTATTAGTTAGCAAGGCATGTTAATTAATTAATATGTGTTATTTATGAACAACAGTTGTCTTTGTGTGGATATGGTTCTCTTTGTCTCACCACCTGGCTTTCTGATCCTGTAAGGAGCCTTCTACAGTTCAAAGGATGCTTAAAATGGGTCAGGAAGGGTCTCGGAAGTTATATAAAATAGCTATAAATTGCAACAGTTAGTAAGAAAGTGTGGCATATTCTTGAAAATTTTTAGGAGACAAAGTTAGAGCGATTGCAGAGTTTAATCTTCCACACCAGGATGCTGTTGAGAATAGAAGAAGTTGCTATTAATAATTCTGCTGGGATAACAGGTGTAAACCAGGACTGTCTCAAGCAAAGCAAGACATGAGGTCACCCTAGTTTAAATATGGATTAACATAACAGGCCGAGTATCACTGGACTCGAATAGAAAGAATAATCCAACTGACAGTAACTCCCAAAGACTCAATATACTCAATTATTTTTAAATTACTAAATATGGCCCTGGCGGGAATGATATGCTTAAATAAGGAGAATTAAGGCATATCTCTCAAATGTCATCCAATTCAACTTTGAAATATTCAATCTTTGGAATAATATTCTTTCATGTCTTTCTCAGCTCTCAAGAACCCGTCAGCTCAGAATTTCTTTTCAGGTTTATTCTGAACAAAAGATCTTCTTTGCGGCCATTGGGTATTTATGTGTGTAACAGAAAATAGCAAAGAGGGCAGGGAGGAGGAGGCCTCTCCACTTTGCAAATGATCTGGTAGGCAGTCATGACAAAACTCACATAGACTCAGAATTCCTGGTTTAAATCATTCTCCTCTCTAGCTTCTCATATTTTATTGGTAGAGTACTTGCTTTCATGATTTCCCAATCTGATGACTTTTGTTATGTGTAGTCACATCTGTTAGTATTTGGCAAGACTTGGAAAGAAATAATCCCGATGTCATTTTGCAAACCCAAATATGTTTCTAAGTAGAGATCATTCAGACTAATTGTCTGTTTTTTTGTCCCCTTGCAATTAAGAGTCAGCAACTTGTCCCAGTAACTCGACAATATAAGATGCTTTTGTGGTTCTGTTGTTTGCCTTTTTGCCCCTCCCTCAGAAAAAAAAATCTACAGCCTTTTAAAGCTTAGATCCCAGTACCCTTGGTTCTCATATCCACAGGGCCCACCCTCAGATTTCCCTCTGTGAACCTGCCCGAGTACCTTCTATGAGCCAAACACATGCTAAGTCTAACAACCCTGTTCTGTGAGCCCCCAAATGCAAAGAAACCCTATAAAAGTTTACCAGCTCATTTTTAAATTAGACCTATTCATTTGGGGAATAAAAGACACGCTGTCAGGAGGCACAGAGCACTGCATTCTTTTCTGTTCTATTGCTTACCAATCTTTGTGCATGGCTGGGAAGCTCCAGAAATTTCTAAATAGAGAACCCCATCTGTCCAGGTGGAATGGAACATAGTCCAGTGGGTAGGCTTGAGAAGCTTAATTTATCTTATCCACTTAACCAAGGCTCTCCACCTTCACACAGCATGGGAGGAAAGAAGCCAGCCAAAAATGGTCAGTGCTTTACCCTGAACTAGAGGGATACTCCAGGCGACAAAGAAAAAATGCAGGGTGCAATGAACTGCCCAGTGCAATTACTGCACTGAATCAGCTTCCAATTCAGATAGAGGAATAAGGCACAATGCACATGGGAAAGATGTATTCTACTGCACGTTGGGAACCTGAAGACAAAGGTTCTTTGTCTAATTTACTCTTTGCTGTTTCTATTCCACGGTGGCAGTGGCTCTTTTCTACAGTGAAATAAGGTAAATGGATTGACTTCACTTATGCATTAGATAAAGGTTCATTTGGGAATGCACTAAAATCATCAGAGTAAAGCACTACTTATGTCTTATAACTGAAGCAGGCTTGTATTTACCTTACATTGTACATTTTGGATTCAATGCCAATGAAGATTTTGAAGACATCCAGCTTATTAAATTATATCAGTCAATTACTTGGTCATGGTTATTACATAAAAACAAAAAAATTTACCAGACTTCATCCTACAGGTGATTTTTCTCTTGGCTGGTGTGCCAACCATCAGGGACAGCAGATTGTTTTTTTTAAAGCAGCTTGCTTGAGATGTAATTTACATACCATTAAATTCACCCATTTAAAGTATGCAATTCAATGGTTTTTAGTATATTTACAGATTTGTGGAGCACATAATCTAACTATAGAACATTTTTATCACCCCCAAAAGAATCTGGTAGACATTAAGTAGTCACTCCCTATTCCCCCCTCCCCCCGTTCTGCCGCCCCCACCAATCAACTTTCTGTCTCTCTAGATTTGCCTATTTAGGATATTTCATTTAAATAAAATCATACAACATAAGGTCTTTTGTCTGTCACATAGCATGTTTTTGAGGTTCATTTGTGTTGAAGCAGGTACAGGCAACAGATTTACCCACGAATATGTCTGTCGCCTAAAATAGTAATACTGACACACCAGAAGCAACTTCTTTCTTTCTTCTTCACTGAGAGGGACAGTAGATCAGCCTGATGTTTTTCTCCCATGTCTTATCCTTGTTTCTCAAGTAGATTAGAAGCAGGTTACAGTTTTATCATTCACAATTTTATGCTTTTCTCCCCAGCTTCATCTGTTTCCATGGGAAGGAAAGCTCTGTATTTAGTGATATCCACTCAAAGAGACTAAAATAATCTTTCCTATGTACATCTAATGCATACCTTTCCTCTTGGGCTTGCAAGGCACATTTCAAGAAATAAGCATGCCTTGAATTTCCTTGCTGTGGGAACAAGGCTTTCCCCATGGAGTCGCCCTTTGGGCTGAATGACCCCTTATTGCATGACTGAAAAATTGATGAGTGGCAGACATCTCAGGTGCTCTAGTGGAAACTTGTAATCTGTAGAGGAATCTCAAAAACAACCCCAGTCGGGAGAAAAATACAAAACCACATACATCACCTAAATCTTTTTTTCTTTTTTCCTTTAAAGGCTGGTATTATAAGATGTAGTCAGACATGTTTTTGCTTTTGTTCGATAGCTTTTTTTGGTGATTAATCATTTGGGGGATTACAGCAGCCACATTGCTGCTCCCTTGCTGACAGCTTTTCCTGTAAAATGCTTGTTGTTCTCTCTCTCTGCTTATTTGCATAAGGATCTGGTGCCTCAGAACCTCAGGCTGCATGCAGACAAATGCTTTCTGAGGAGGGGAGCCATGGAGATGGAAAACTCCAGAAATCTGCCCGACCTGAGTGACCACAGGAAGTGGCTCTGAAACCAGGCCTCCTCTTAGGTCTCTTCCACTGCACAGGTAGACAGTGGCAGGACCTCCCTAACCTTTCCTTTTTACTTTCTGCTTTGTTTCTGCAGAATGCGGGGCCCCTCCAGGGCCTGCCCTGACACCCAGGTAATGCAAAGGCCACTGGACAGGTCCTGAGCTTCATCTGAACTCTGGGTTTGCCCAGTTGCAGCTGTATAGACCCTCTTCAGGGACAAACACAGCCTCTGGACCAAATTGATTTGGTTATTAAGGACTTGCTGTCAATGACCGCTCACCTTGCCTCTGGTCCCCCCAAAGAGGGTGTTGGCACAACTGAGTTTACCTAACTGACAAGGCCTTTCTGCATTCTGGCCACCATCTGCAGCTTCTCTTGAAGACAGGTGTGTTGCTGAGTGCCTCCTGGATTAATAATCCCCAAATCAACTAGATGTCAATTGCTCACCTGCTGTGCAGTACACAGGAAGCAGCTGAGGGACTGAGGCTATGGGTTCATGTACATATTAACTGTGAGGAGCACAGGGTACCACCAAGCCTAGCTGGACTTTCCCATGAGCTTCAGAAGCTTCCAGCCAGCTGCCCACTCAACCTCAACACTTGGGTGTCCCATTGGCTTATCAAATGAAGCATTTCTACCCTATTACCTTCAAATCTCTGCTCCTCATGGAACCTTCTCTTCCCCCAGTAAGTGGTAGCTCTATTCTCTCAGTCACTCAGGCCTTAGAGAGCTCACTTTTTTGATGTCCACATCATCTGTCTGCAAATCCTATTGGCACCATCTTCCAAAGACAGCCAGAATCCAGCCACTTCCCATTACCTCCACTGCCATCACCCTGGGCCATGCCATCAACATCTCTCCTTTGGATGACGTGCCAAGCACCCACTTACCTCAGGGTCTTTGTAGTTCATTCGCTCATTCATTATTCTCCCATTTTCCCACATTAGACTATAAATTCTATGAGGGCAGGTGTTTTTCCCTGCTTTGTCTACTTATATCCCCAGCACCTGAAGCTGGGCCTGGACTATAGTAGATGCTCAATGAATATTAAAAAAAATGAATGAATGCTTTGGGACCAGTAATTATCAGCTATCTTTTATATCAATTTCTATAACTGTATAAATGCTTAGATAAACCTGTGGACAAGAATGAGGTGGGACACAAAGGTCAGAATAAGTGGTAAGTTCTACATGTGGGACAGAAAAAGTCCTCTTCATAAGGAAGGGGATAAGCAGCTAGAAAAGTGGGGGGGGCATTTGATGCCAAGCAATCACGTGGACAAAGGCATGGAGGCAGGAAACAGCCTGGCACATTTGATGTACTATAGGTAGTACACAGTGCAAAAGATAAATATGGAAAGGTAAGCTGGAGATAGACCACAGTCCCCTTTAAAGAACACATTATTATACCTATTTTAAAAATGAGGACATGGAGAGATGCAGTCATACAACTAAGAAACATCAGAGGTGGAACTCAGACCCTGGCAGAGGGGACCCACCAAAAGGTTTGGCAGGAAAGTGGCACAGTCAGATTTGCATTCCATTTCATTGGTGACATAGGGGATGGATGAGGCAAGGCCCTTTTTAGCAAGGAGAGAATCCAGGGGAGAGAGGGTGGGGTCTAAAATAAGAAGTGGCAGTGGGGTGGAGAGGAAAGAAGGCCTCTAGTGGACAATGGATGGTGGGGGATTAGGAAAAAGAGGCAACTAGGAGTCCCAGGTTTCTGGATGGGGTAATAGGTAGATGGTAGAGCCATTCAGTAGGATAAGAAATAGAGAAAGAACAGTCTGAGGAAAGATAATGAGTTTGATTTTTAACCAAACTTTTTGTGATGTATAACCTACATACATTTATTTAAGTATAATAGACATACAGAGGAGTATAGGTAAGTGTACAATTCAGTGAATTTTCACCATGAAACACACACAAGTAACCAGCACTCACATCAAATAACAGGATGCCATCAGACACAATCCTCTGGGCTTTCTCTATGCCACTCCCCACTCAAGTATGACCAGGACCTTATGTCTAGTGGCACAGATTACTTTGGCTTGTTTTTATACATGGTAAATGGATTCATTTGGTATGTCCATTTTAGTATCTGTCTTTCCACTCAACATTGAGACACAGCATACTGTAGAATTGTAAATCATCCCTTTCATTGCAATATAGTGTCCTACTGTGTGAATCTACCACAGGTATCCATTCTACTCTTTTAGAATTTTTATCTGATTTGAGAGAGAAGAAAGAAGAAGCAGAAGCAGCATCAATTTGATGTTCCCTTATTTATGCATTCATTGGTTGATTCTTGTATGTGCTCTGATGGGGAAACCAAACCCACAACCTTGGCATGTGAGGACAACATTCTAACCAACTGAGCTACCTGGCCAGGGCCATTCTACTTTTGATGGGCATATGAGTGTTTCCAGTTTGGCATTATTACAAATACTGCTGTTTTGAATAATCTAGTACATTTTTGTTTTTTTTTTTGAAGAACATATGTATGCGTTTCTGGTGGGTAAATACTTGGAAGTGGAATTGTTGGTTCATAGGGTACATATATGTCCAGCCTTGGTATAAATTGCCAAGCAGTTTCTGAAAGAGGTTATATCAATTTATATTCCTGCTGGCATCATATGAGAATTCAGGTTGCCCCAGACCTTGCTGACACTTGGTTGGGGCCAGTTTTACACAGTAAGAGACATTTACATAGAGATGTCCAGTAATCCATTCAAAGCAAGTGTTGGAATCTTGGGTTTAGCACATTTATGATGGGGGAGAGGAAGCAGAACTCTCAAGAAGAGACCAAGGATTATTCAGAGTGGAGGGAGAACCAGGTGAGCAGCATAACGGAAGCTAAAGGAAGACGGAAGGGACTGACAGCACCCAACATGGCACCATGAAGACATAGTTCACTGTTGGAAAGAGTCCATTGAATGTGAAACTAAGGAGTCATTGGTAATTTCCTTTGCCAGCACAGGGCTTGGCCTCCTAATAAGATGATGCTCTCCAACCTTCATTGCTACCTGAGGGTCAATTCTTCCCATAGTGGGTAGATCAAGGAGTATAGGAATGAATAACCAGTGGACGAGGGCCCAGGAGAGACAGCAGTTAGTGACCACAGGTTAGGGGTGGCCCTGAATCTGCCCAGGCTAGAAGACATGTCCCCCTGACTCCCACTGCAGCCTATCCATAACCCAGCATAGTCACCATGTGCATCATCCTGTGGTCTGTCTTTTCCTGGGTCCTCAAGCCACTGTGGGCAGAGAGTCACACTTTCATTTCAGAAGGTCCAGGCCCTTGTACAGAGCAAGGCCCACAGTGGACATACTGTAGAAGTGGTTTGTGGAATGGGTAAATATGTATTACTTAAATAAAGGCACAATTTTAAAAAGGTTTATAATTGTGATGACAAAGATGAGACCATTCCCTTACTTTCTAAAACAATCTGAAAGTGTTTGGGGGGCATCAGATCTAATTTTTAGATAGAAAAGTGGCTAAGGAAGAACTTTATGTCCTGTTGTCTATGCTCAGGTTTTGTTTGAGATTTTTAAAAAAGATTTTATTTATTTATGTTCAGAGAGAGGGGAAGGAAGAAAGAGAGGGAGAGAAATATCAATGTGTGGTTGCCTCTCCCATGCCCCCCACTGGGGACCTGGCCTGCAACCCAGGCATGTGCCCTGACTGGGAAATGAACTGGCAACCCTTTGCTTTGCAGGCCAATGCTCAATCCACTGAGCCATACCAGCCAGGGCTGAGATTTTTATATATAGGTATATGTTGTTTTTATAATCAGAAAATAAATAAAGGTATTTGTTTTGTTGAAAATGAGAAGTGGCATTTTGGTGCTTTAAACTGGTGCTGTCCAATGGAAACTTCTGCAATGATGGAAATGTTGTGTATTTGTGTTGTTCGGCACAGTGGCCACAAGTGACATGTGACCAGGCCAATAAGCACTTGAAATGTGGCTGGTGTGACTGAGCAATTGATTTTTTAATTTTATTCATTTTAGTTTAGTTAAATTCAAATAGTCATAAGGGACTAGGGGCAATGGCATTGGACAGCACAACTTTAAACAGTTTATAGTAATATATACAAACTCTTTTCCTATTCAATTGTGCATTCATCCTTTTATCCATTCTTCCATAAAAAGTTTATATGTTAGCTTTATGTTAAATTTTGCACACTTTCAATTTCCTCACATCATATTTATAGTATTGTGGTTAAATATTTCCTGTACATAATAGACAAACCTAAAATGGATTTTCTAAACAATGTCCTAAGCCTAAATAACCTACCTAAATGTGTCACAGTTGGAGGAACTGAAAATCAGCTCCTGAACAGCACATTGGGCAGATATTAGGGATGCTTATAATGATGATGATGATGAAGTCAATAAGCAAAGGGAAAAACTCACACCGTTAATGTTAAGTGGAAAAGGAATGTCATAAACATTGGTTAGGTAGTAGGTTCTCAAATAAATATGTTTTTTAAAGTATGCATAGAAAAAAGATGGGAACCATTTTCACTTAGATGTTGATAGTAATGCCTTGGTGGTAAAAAAAAAAATTATATATATACACATATATATATGTGTGTGTGTGTGTGTGTGTGTGTGTGTGTGTGTGTGTGTGTGTGTCACAGGTTCGATTCCCAGTCAGGGTACATGCCTGGGTTGCAGGCCATGACCCCCAGCAACCGTACATTGATGTTTCTCTCTATCTCCTTCCCTTCCCTCTCTAAAAATAAATAAATAAATAAATAAATAAATAAATATATATATATATATATATATATATATATACGCGCATTGGTGTATTTTCCAAAATTCTATAATGAACAAAAATAGTAATTTTCTTTGTCTTTCTATTTAATTTTCCTGTGCCTAGCTTCTCAGATCCGTGGGTGCTGACAGATACTTGCTTAGTTTGACTTCTTCCAGAAGGGACTTTGTTAACTTTTATGTGACTTCTTTTCACTTTTCCATATAATGAATCATTTTGTTGAATTTCTCTTTTTTTAACTTAATTTTTCCTCTCTTGTCCTCTTGCTCAGCCACACTGGGATTATCATCTACTGAGGTATGTTATAGTAAATAGTGTTTTTGAAAATTTCCCTAGCCAAAAATAACGTATAGGGCTATGACTTTGAAATATAATTTTTGAAGATTTTTTCTGGTGGTGGCAACAGCACATGTTATCTGGGCAAGTTCCACGTTTCATTGAGAGAATGCAAGTAAACCAGGTCTTAATTCAGATGGTGTAATCTTGAATCTAGTACCTTTTAAAACTGGATCCCCAAAAGGGACCTCCAGGGAATGTGAGGAGCCCTGACCTTGGACTGGGTCTCCCCAAACCCTTGAAAACAATTATAATGGAATGTACACTGCCCCCACATGGGTATATTTTTGAGATTATTAGTTGGCCACCCACAGTGGCAGACACTTGTTTAGCTACATTGAAAGCTGAGCAGCTACTGTGTGCTTTAAGGCTGGATTAATGATTCAACTGTGCTGTTCTAGTGTGAAAGTGTCACAGGTGGGCACAGGTAACTAGGTTCTTAGTGATTGGGACAAAGAATTGAACCGAACAACCAGAGTTCATAGAAGGGAACATGGGAGCAGGCCAACTCCAAGCAGAGATTGACCTCATGGTCTGGAGGGACTTTATTCTTATAGGGCGGATCCTTCCTGGCTAGTTTTGGTGGGCTTTTACTGAGTATGTACAAGTAGTTGTATTACTTTAAAGCTACTGCGCATGTGGCCTTTCATGATCCTCCCCGACTGGCCACCAGGGAAGAGGGTCCCACAATGTTACTGAATTGACCCCCGTTTCTCCTGGGGTCCCCCTGTACTAGGTTCACCTTTCCCTTCACCAGAGAATTATAGCTCTCCATGTTAGAGATTGGTGAAAAGGAAAGGAATTATTTATTCAAGTTACACAGACTTAAGAGTAATGACTTAATGTCTTCATCAAAATCCCAAAGTCCCTTAAAACACCCACAAACACACACAGTCCTTCCTTCCCCCCCTTTGCCCAGTCTGGGGTACCGTATCTCAGGGAAAGAAATGAAAGTCCATGGCTCAGGCAGCTCCCGGTTCTTCCCAGTAATCCGCGCTCAGCTGGCAGGCCTCCCTCGGTTCTCAGCACCATCGGCTGTGTTGCCGGGATCTCCAGCTAAAGCAGCGTGGTGGTTCTCTGCTAAAGCCGCGTGGTGATTCTTCTATTGGCTGCGGGGGTGGCTGGGGGGTCCCCCTGTGCCAAAAGTGCATGGTTCTGCTTACATGGTTGCAGCCATGTGCTTCTCTTCAATGGTAGCCGAGTCTGGGTTTAAATATCCTTCCAGCTTTACTGGGCTCCATCATGAGTCTGCGCAGGGGTGGCCCCAGGTCGTGGAGCCAATCATCTCCAAGCTCTCACGCAGGCGCAGTAACTAGGGGGAGTTGCCTCCCAGTTACGTGTTGAGAGGAAGTTCCTTCCATCCCCCTGGCTCAGAGCATGGCCACAGCTATTTAACATATCTATGCAACCAGTTAAAGGTTATAGATATGTTAAATGACCACACCAGAGGTTAGCTGCAAAGGTTAGTTGTTATGCAAAACAGCTCTCAATGGCCCTGCTCCTTGTGTCCCTTCCCCCAACCCACACCTGTGGTGGAGGGTGAGGACATCCCATATATCTTTCTAATATTTCCTGGACACCTTGAGTTCTAGACCCCATTACAAATCTTTCTTTTGGGGGCCCCCTGGCTGCACCCTCCTACAAATGCAGCCACAGAGAACAGTAATGAATGAGCAAGGTTTTTGAACACAGGCTTTTCTGGTAGTGCTGAGCAGCTACCTTTGACTGTAACTTTTCTGACACTCCTGCCTCTCTGGCTTCCCACAGGATGAGCCCGAGGACCCCTGGTACCACAAAGCATGCAAGTGTGACTGCCAACGAGGTGTCAATGCCCTGTGGTCTGTGGGCACCACCTCCTTAGACTGCATACCAGGTGAGTATCCCCTCTCCTTGGGGCACTAGACCCTTGGGGTGTCCTTGGGATACCCTGTTTCTCCTTTCTTTCAGCCCAGCTGAATTAATGTTACAGAACAAACAAGGGGGGGCCTGGGGCGATATACTATTATTGAAAGAAGCCCCCAGGTCCGTTATGTCCGCCACCAGAGGAAAGACGTCTCTCAATGCCAGAGATTCGTGAAAAGGAAAAGAAATGTTTATTTAATGCTATACAGACTTACAGTAGTGACCTAATGTCTTCATCAAAAATCCTAAAGTCCCTTAAAACACCCACAAACAGACACAGTCCTTCCTTCCCCCTTTGCCCAGTCCAGAGTACCATATCTCAGGAAAGGAAATAGAAGTCCATGGCTCAGGCAGTCCTCTGGTTATTCCCAGTTAGGACTCTGTCTTGACTGGGAGACCTCCCTGGGTTCCTGGCACCCTCAGCTGTGTGGCCGGGATCTCTGCTAAAACCAGGTGGTGGTTCCCCCTTCTAAAGCTGCGGGGGTTCCCACTCTGGCAAAGGCATGTGGTCCTCCTTCCCAGGGCCACGGGAGTCCCCACTCTGCCAAAGCCGAGTGGCAGTTCTCTGCTAAAGCCGCATGGTGATTCTCTCTTGCAGGGCTGTGGGAGTCCTCACTCTGCTAAAGCTGCGTGGTTCTCTCTCCCTCAATGGCTGCTGCATCTGGGTTTAAATCCCCGCGCCAGTCTTCCTCTGCAGCCCCATTTCCGACTCCTCCCACACTCGGCCACATTTGCCCTCAATCTGCTGTCTTTTCCAGCTTTTCTGGTTGCCATCATGGGTCTGGGCAGGTGCGACCCCATGTGATGGAGCCAATCTTCTCCAAGCTCCCACGCAGGCACTGTAACTTGGGGGACCTGCCCCCCAGTTATGTCTTGGTGGGGTAGTTACTTCCATTCCCCTGGCTCAGGGCATGGCCACAGCTATTTAACATACCTAAGTGACCAGCCAAAGGCTATAGATATGTTAAAGGACCACACCAGAGGTTAGCTATAAGCCTGTTGCTATGCAAAACAGCTCTCAAAGGCCCTGCTCCATGTGTCCCTTCCCCCAACCCACACCTGGGGGGTGGGGGTGAAGACATCTTAAAATCTCCTGGACACCTTAAGTTCTGGACCCCATTTCAAATGCCCATTTGGGGTCCCCCCTCTTGGCTGCACCCTGTAACATTAATACCCCCAAATGCCAAGCTCTAGGTTTTCTCCAGAAGGACTCTGAGCTTCAAACCTCACATGGCCACTGCTCCAGTAAGTTGACCTGATGTCTTTGTTAAGAACAGCTTCCTGGAGCTCTGCTTGGCCTGGGTGACATGGTAAGGTGGGACATAATGAAAGATATTAATGGATGATTAATTGAAAATAAATTAATGATAGGTGGCAGGGAGTTTTGAGAAACAGCTTCGGCTTTTGAGCCAGAAAGACCAGAGTTGGAATCTGGGCTGCATCACTTTTTAACTCTGGGACTCCACTTTGGCCTTTTTCTGACAAGTGCAGGCAACACTACTATGCATGGATAGCCATTGCTCACCAAACAACCACATGCTCCCCCTCATTCCAGCTCCCTTTCAGTCAGGTGGCTTTATATGAGCAGTTTCTGCCAAAATGAGTGGTGTCCCTTCCAAAATGAGGGATTTAAGGCCTGCTGGTACTCAACTCTCCAGCTCTCCATTTTCCTGCTTGAGCAAGTGGCTCATCCCTCAGCCTGGGTGCTGGGGAAATGCCATGGAGCAGAACCCCCTTCCCACCCACAATGGCCAAGTCACCTGAGTAAAAACTAAACCTTTGTTGTGGTAAGCCTCTGAAATTTCTGGGTGGTGTGTTCTGCAGCATAATATGGCCTTGCTGACTACTGTGAATGCCTGCCTTCCTCTAAGGCAGGGAGAAGCAAACTTTGTCAGTAAAGGACCAGACAATAAGAATTTGTGGCTTTCTGGGTCATGCTTTCTCAACTCCTCAATTCTGCCATTGTTGCTTAAAAGGCAGCCATAGACAATATGTAAATGAATGTGCCTGGCTGTGTGGCAATAAAACTTTATTTACAAAAACAGGCAGCGAGCCATATTTGGTCCATGGGCCACAGTTTGCTGACCCCTGCTCTAAGGAGTTGGTGTGAAGAATAAATTGGATGAGGCTTTTTAAGCATGTTGCACTGCTTTGGCAAATTGGAGTTCCTTTTCCTCCTGCCTCCTAAGAGCTCACACTCTTACTTTCAGAGGCTGGGGCGGCCTGCAAATATTTCCAACACTCGGTCGTTTCCAGGCTCAGAGCCTCTTTGGCACGAAACTGTCCTTGCCACCCCTCTCCAGGGTTACATAGTGCCAAGTAAAGTCATTCACTTTACATAATCGCTTAATAATAGCTCTGGGAGAGACAGGTTTGTGTGTGTGCCTGTGAGCTTCTCTTCATTATTTCATTAAATTTGCATTAAAATAGCTAATTGTCGGGGAGAGAAGGAGGGAGTCTACAATGGCTTTTATTGCCTCCGTTTTTCCTATTTACTGAAGGAGTAGGAAGTCATTCTGAACTAAACCTCATGGAAGGGCACAGTGGGGTCCCCATAGTGAGGAGAGCAGTTAAGTGCTGTTTAGTTCCATGGGCTTTTCCCACTGGGCAGGAGCTCCTACAGCCATTCGTGTTGGTAGATCTGCCAGGTAAATAATGAAGCACCCTCCTAATAATCCATTTAGAATTCCACCCTCTTTTATCACTTGCCTATTATGTGCCAGACTCTGATAGAGAGACAAAAATGAAGACATTGTCTCCACCCTGGAGGAGTTCACCGTTTAGTGAAAACAATTGTTCTCTTCACTAGAGATAGGAGGCCTACTGGAATTCCATCCTGAGGCAGTTCTTTCTTAGAAGAAATGGAAAACAGATTATTTATGTGGATTGGATTAATTGATCTAATCAGCTGTGAAGCTGAAGAGGGCCTCGTGTTTGAGGAACGTGAAGATGACCCTGGTCCCCCAAACTATCTCTCCTACACAGTTGCCATGTACTGGAGCTTCTGAAATCAGAATTTTTTTTAGCTTACCTGTTCTCTCCCCACTGGTTTTGTTTGTTTGTTTTATTTTGTTTTTATAACAACACAGATATTCCCAAGAAGGAAAAACACACAACTTTAGTGTTAAATGGTTGGTTCATTGGTGTTCATTGGTTTTTCCATGAAAGACATGATTCGGGGCAGCAGGACTAACCACAACCTTCCAGAAATCACTTGCCCATCAGTGCTTCACATCCTTATTGGAACTTTAAGAATGGTGGTCCGTATCTGTGGTCCCTGTGATTCAAAGCTTTCTGCAGACTCTGATTTAGGAAGGAAGAAGAGCCTAGAAAGCACAAAAGGACAGGAAGGTCATTCATAGCTCCCAAAAAAGAGCTCCCAAATACACACTGGCTCTTACTACCTAAGGGCTCCATCCATAGAACAGACAGCTAGATGCCTTATGGCCTCCTAATCTTCATCTTAACACTATTAAAAATACTAAAAGGTCTGTCTTCTCCACCTTTGAGCCAAGATTACCTTGGCACACCGAGAGATAGGAATAGGGTAGGGAAGGCATCAAAGAATAAGAAATGCAATGACTCAATGCTGTACTTTTATTCCAGATTCTATATTTCTATATTATATTAAATTATGTATTCCATTCTTCTGTAAATATTACAGACCATATTTAAGTCTAATACACGTACATAATACTCATGTCTTTCTTGACAAGAATGTTCCTGAACTGTCTCTATGCCCCTTTAGGTTAACATCTTTTGTAAGCATTTCTGGCCTACATGCCTAGAAATTGAGAAATTACTGATTAAAAAAGGCTAATATGTTAAGTATCCATAGTCTGGATTAGGCACATTGTGAATATGCTTTTTTCCATCTAATTACCAAATCATTGCTCAGAAGAGCCACTTGTGCCATAGAAGATGCAGGTTTGTCCTTTAGAGTGAAACAAGTATAGACATGGGCCAGTGGGACTTCTCTGGGCCAGTCAACTTCTACTTCCTCCTTGAGCTCACTGCTTCCTGATTCTGCCATTTTTTCTGCTCATCCCCAGTGGCCACCCAAGAGGGGGTGATGATGTTTGTTCATCCATCCCTTCTTCATTAGTCCGTATGATCAACATCTATACAGTGCCTAGCATGTGCAGGCATTCTGCTGGGTTCACAGGATGGAACAGTGAGCAAGACAGACCTGGCTGCTGACAATTACATAATCACAGGAGGAGGGATAAGTGGCAGGTGCAGGGTGCCTGGAAAGGCAGCACCTAGAATCCTTTACCCAGCTCAGGGTGGGCAGAGATATGAAAGATGATGAGTAGAGGTGAAAGGGGAAAAGAGAGGGCAGGATTGTCACAGGCAGAGGGAACAGCCTCAAGGGAAAGACCTCTCGGCCTGCATAAGGACCTGAAGGGAGCTCAGCCAGGACCACGGAAGGAGGAGGAAGAGTAGGGGAAAGGAGGGGTCAGGAAAAGTAGGCGAAAGGAGGGGTCAGGAAAAATAATAAAGAAACCTGAGTACAGTTCACTGCCCAGCACGTAGAGCACAAGAGATGGTACATTTTCTATTTTTTCAAGTTAAAAAAAAAAAAAAACCAGTTTGAGTCCTCCTTTGTTATGGCCTGTGAAGAGTCTAAAGACAGGCTTGTGGAAGGTCCTTCCTTTCCCTTTTGGACTACATGAACCCGCTATGGGTTTGCACGGGCTGCCTGGGACAGGGCCTAGACCCAGGCTGGGTGGTAGACTCTCTACCCAACCCACAGCCCTACTCCAAGGTCAATACCTACTCCCTCTCAACCAGACTCAGTCCTGGAGACCTTCCAAAGTTTCCTGGGGTGTCCAGAGCTCAGGGCTCCCAGGCTCCATCCCTGGTCCAGCCTCATCAGAGGAACCTCATCAGAGGAACCACTTCCCTGCCGACCTGAGGCCCTTATCGTGAGCTCCCCTCCCCCAGCACCCCCCTCCCCAACCCAGCAAGCATCAAAGTCCAGAGCCCCCGCCATGTCCTCCTCTGGGACAATCAGCTGATTCCTTCTGAGGCCTAGGCCTTCCAAATCCACAAACCTGGGAGACATTATGTTGCCAACAGTCTTCTCTCTCAAGTCATACACACACACACAGATGCACACACTGCTTATTCCATCCTGGGGCAAGGAGAACCCAAACCTTTAGAAACATGAACCTGGCTTCCTTTTCAAAGAGATGATGGGGGTAGGACAGAGTACGGTAGAGGGGTGTTAGATTTCTTCCTTAGTGACTGTTCAACAGAAAAACAAACATGCAAAACTCAAGAAGACATAAATAAATTCTCACAACTTCACCCTATTCTACCAATATGAGCTGCTGCTTTGGGGCCAGATACTACAGGCCTTATGCTCTACAAATGTTATTTCACGTAATCCCACAGCAATTTTATGGAGGCAGGTAATGCTGTTATGTTGTCTACACAGAGATGTTAAGCAGCTTGCCTAAACTCATGCAGAGGGAGAGTGGGATTCAGTCCCAGCTTTCATCGGCTCTAAGCTGGCAATCTTGACCTTGGCTGCCCATTACAATGACCTGAAGCTTTACTTCATGCCCAGGTCCTGCCCCAGACCAATGGCATCAGAACCTCTGGGGGTGCGGCCTGAACATTATTTCTGCAATTCTCAAGGTGATGCCCAGGCTGATACCCAGGCTGATACCCATCAGAGTCTCTGTTCTGTGCCCTGGACCAAACCACCAGGTTTCTGGATTAGCAGCTGTGTAGCTGGAGGTATCAATGTCTGATACAGGAGTACTGGACAGGGGCAGGCTTAGGGCTTGGACACTGAAGGGCTCAGTTTTGGCTATATTGGCATAAAGCATCTTTGGATCATCCATACGGAAAATAGTCAGAGGGCCTGGGAGTCAGGCATTGGCTCCCAGATGCCTGCTGAAACCATGGAGATGGTGAGATCGTCACCTCCCCTGGAGACTGTGGGCAAGGTCTACGTCTGGACAAGCTCTCACAGGCCTCCAAGGCCATTGGCACTGGCCAGGTCCCTGCATATCTATAGCCCACTCATTTTTTTTATTGATTTTATAGAGGGAGAAAGAAAAAAAAAACATCGATTGATTCTTGTATGTGCCATGATGGGGCAGGGGGGCGGATCAAACCTGCAACCATGTTATATCAGAATGATGCTCTAACCAACTGAGCTACCTGGCTAGGGCACACCCCACTCTTAACTGTTAAATGGGATAGTTGGTAAAAGGCAAAAGATTTATACCATCTGAAGAGAAACCAAAGTATTAGATGGGATAATTGGGAAAAAATGGAAAAAGGGATATGAAGGGGAATAGAGAAAGATCAAAATGCCAAGAATAAAGTTCTTGGGAGAAGTGGTGATGGCTTTTCCTTCCTTTCTGTCTCCTTCCTCCAAGCTGGTGACCCTGGAGCAAGAAAAGGGAGGTTCAAGATAGAGGGGACTAGAGACATCCTGAGTTACAATTTAAGTGACCACCAAGGCCCAACTGAAACCCAGCATTGTGACACTATGGCCTTGCCCCTCTATCTGGTGACACAAGTTTGTCTTCTAGGTCAGAGGAGGGTGGAGGAGGTGGAGGAGCCCCCAAGGCCATGGACACTAGGCCTTCTGAATCCATCAGCCAACAAAATGCCTTCCCTGCCAGGCCAAGGTTTCCACAGTGCCTTTGAAAGCGTGCTTCCCAAAAATTGGCCACTCTGGGGGTGGAACCCTAGAAACTGAATTCTTGGCATGCCCCTTTGATGACTTGGCCACACAAGGCATGAACATGTAGCCCATAAAGCACTCATGTTCCCTCTCCCAGGAATGGACATTTTCATAGGTGCCCGAAGCATTGAGTACTTGATTAACTACAAATGCTGTCCCCTCATTCCCAGCCTCACTGAGCTGCAGCTACTGGTGGGAATTTGACCTGTTTTTTGTATGTGTGTGTGTGCATTGGGTATAAAGGTGTTTAAGCCTCTCTGGCCCCAGGCCACAAGCTGTCCTTTTGTCTTCGGTCTCTGGGGACAGAGTATGGCTGTCCCTGCAGGCAGTCTGGAGCTGCAGGATGGCAATCAAGGTTTTGCGTGTTTCATTTAGTTTTACTGAGTCCTGAAAATTATTCTCTACAAAGGCCTCAGCTTTCATTTTACTGTGTAAGGTGATAATGCCCCAGTAAATACATTCAGCTCTTCAATAGGAAACCAAATTTACATATGAAAAAAATAATTAGATTTACCTTACTTGAAGTTTATCATTCACAGTTGGAAAACTGGGAGAATGTATTTTCATAAGGTTATCATTTGTTTTCTATAGAAATTCGGGTAGAAACTGGGTTTGGTTAAAAATAAGAGGTCCCCTCGATAATGGCTTATTGAATTAGCTTTGTTTTGACGAATGGTAAAAAGACTAGGGGTTAGGGATGTGCTTAGCGATATCAGGGCTGAGATCTCTGTAGTTCTCTTAGCCTTACCCGCATGGTGCAAGATGGCTACTGCTGCAGCAGGCATTAGGTCTTCCTTCTAGGCAAGAGTTAAAAAGAAGGGGCAAGTAAAACCTGATCAGAAATCCCCAGCAGACATCCTCTTATATCTCACTAGTTAGGAATTGTGTCATGTGCCTCCTAACTGCAAGAAAGGCTGGGAAAGATTGTTTTTTTAGCTGGCAACATCTGCTCCCAACTGAATAAGAGGATAATGGATGCTGGGTTGACAATTGACAGTCTCTGACCAGGTAAACCAACACTAAATGTGAGAGGACATACACGAGAAGCAGCAGACAATTAACATCTAAGAATGAGCTTTAGCTATTCTTATTTGGGAAAAGCAGTTCCTTTCAACTGTTCTTTATTCAACAGGCACATTTCACCTTTTTTTTTCCCTTTAGACTAGTGAGAACACTGCAATTTACAAGTGGGAAGGCAGTCTCAATATATAATTGAATTGCCCTTCTTGCCTGTCACCATTGTTTTTTTTCTGTATAATTGCCTTCATATGCTGCCCGGGGACAATTAAGGTCCCTGGTGTCATCATGCAGGATGGCCAAATCTGTGTTAATGAGGAAAATAAAGAGTATGGCATTTAAGTATGATCTTTCACTGCAAACCTCTTGGTTTTTAGGTCTCTATGTTTGCGGAGGAGGTGAACTATTTCTCAACCACCCCCCCACAGCCATAGAACCACTTTCTCTGCTTTTACAAATGTCATGAGTCTCTATGACAATTCCTTTTCTTCATCTTCAAAGGGGAAGGTTTAATTTCTCATTTCAGTCATGTTGTGTTTGTTGGGTATTGTGATACAATATGAGTGTTTCAATATGCATTGTTTTTCCTTTCCCAGAATGCCCCTATCACAAGCCCCTAGGTTTCGAGTCAGGAGAGGTTACACAAGACCAGATCACCTGCTCCAACCCTGAGCAATATGTGGGCTGGTATTCGTCATGGACTGCCAACAAGGCCCGGCTCAACAGTCAAGGCTTTGGGTAAGCAGAGCTGGTGGCTCAGATGATTTTTTTCCCATGTAATTTGAAAAAGTAGGTCTCTGTAAACAAATGAGTGACACGGAATGTACTTAGTTATTCAACAAACATTGATTGAATGCCTTCCACATGTCAAGGATTGTGGATGCAGCACTAAATAAGGAGGGTAAGGTGCCTTTAAGAAGCACACAGTTTAGAGGGGTAAAAGGATTCTAAAGCACATAATCACACAACTAATCACTTTGTGTGATGTGTGCTGCAAAGGGGATGGGGAAGAAAGACCTGGTCCATTTGAAGCACCAGGGAAGGGCTTTTCAAGGAAAAGATATATAACCTGATACTTCTAGTTGGCCAGGGGAGGGGGGTGGGCACAGGATACAACAGATGCAAAGGCCCTGAGTAGGAAAGACCCCTTAAGGGCATGGATGGGGACCATAAAGATGGCCATTAAAGTTAGGGCACAGGTGAGGTAAAGCTGAAGAGGCAAACAGAAGTCAGATCATGCAGGGCCTTTTAAGTCATACTAAGGATTGTGGTCCTCATTTTAAGGATCATGGGAGGCCCCTGAAAGTGCATTAGTTAGAACACAGGTTTGTGCTGTTGTAACAAAGAACCCCAAAGTACAGGGATTTAAACAACATACTGGTGTGTTTCCTGCTCATTTAAACATTTTATTAGGTGTCTAGGGTTGTTACAGCAGCTGGATGCTATCAGGGGTGCAGACTCTAGCTTGTTCTGTCATCCTTAACATGGAGCTTCCATCTTGGGCCCCAAGACGGCTGCTCTAGCTTCCATTGTCACATCCACATTCTAGTCAGTAGGGAGAACAGGAGAGCAGAGTACACACACTTTTTCTTTAAGGATTCAGACATCGTCCTTTCAGCTACTTCTGCCCATAACCCATTGACCAGGATTTAGTCTGATGGCCCCACCTAGCTGCAAGGAAGACTAGGAAATGTGATCTTAGCTTGGTGGTCATTTGCCTAGCTAAAACTCAGGAGTTCTGTTACTAAAGGGAGATGGGAAGAGGCTACTGGGAGACAAAGAGCAGACTCTGTCAGCGAAACATTCGAAGTTGGGGAATATTACAATCAGATTTGTGTTAAGAGAAAAACCTTCTGGCTCCCGTGAGGGGAGCTGTTAAGTTCAGGACAAGAGTAATCCAGGGAGACTAGTTAAACTACGGTGGCAGTCCTGGCAAATGCAGGGCTAGAGTGGTGGCAGCAAAATGGAGAGAAGTAAATGATTTTGAGAGACACTGTGAGATGGAGTCCATAGATTGGTTGGCTGTTTGAGATGACAGAATGGAAGGGGCCAAGGATGGCCCTCAGATTGCTGGCATGAAGACCTGGGAATACAGGGGTTGCATTCAGAGAGATGACGAGTGGAAGGAGGGGTTGGGGTGGAGATAATTCAGAACTCACTTTTGGACTTGTTTCACTTAAGATGATCCAAGGCATCTGGGAAAAGCTGGCTAGTTAGCAATTGATTCTTGGGATTTGGAATTTAGAAAAGGCTTGGGATAGAAGTAGAAAGTCAGAGCTTACCTGAGAAGCAAGTCTGGAATTAGAAGAGAAAGCAGCCAAGGACTGAGTTCCAAGAAGCTAATTAATATGCAATAAAAGTGGGGGAGCTATAGGTTTCCACAATTTATGAGGAATATAGCTAAATAACAAATCATTTCCATCAAGGTTGGTTAGTTTGTAATTGCCAAAAGCCCTCTCAGAGCCATTCAGCAGTGTTCTGCACGTGGTAGACACTACCTATAAGCCAAGCATGACAGCACCTGAAGGAGATGCAGATATGTATGAAGAGAATGAAATTAAAGAAAAACAAAGAATGGTTCATGATGAAAGAAACATCAGGACGGACTAATGCAAAGGGAAGGGGCTGGTGGGCGCAATAACCATGCATTAAAGAAAGACATGCTCAATCACACCCCAAAGGTGATTTCAGCTACACTTAAAGGGATTTCTTTGACAAATTAGTTGAATGTCACAAGTTTTCTTCCGGTGGTGGAGGTGCAGGGAGGGAGAGAGAAAATGGTGCAACTATCACAGAGGCTGGGCACTTGTTGGAGACTAGCCTCTGGGTGCTTCATGGATTGCAGCTCAGCCCAAGATTAGCAGGGGCTCTCTTCAGGTGCTGGCATCCCCTCAAAAGACAGAGCTTCCAGGCTCTTTGAGGCACTCAGGGGGAAAGGCTCCTGGTGATTTTCTGTGTCCCCCACAGGTGCGCCTGGCTTTCCAAGTTCCAGGACAGCAGCCAGTGGTTACAGATAGATCTGAAGGAGGTCAAGGTGATTTCGGGGATCCTCACCCAGGGTCGCTGTGACATTGATGAGTGGATGACCAAATACAGCGTGCAGTATAGGACCGATGAGAGCCTGAACTGGATTTACTATAAGGACCAGACTGGAAACAACCGGGTAAGTTTGGCATACCCCAAACCACCTTAGCTCACACTCTGGGACTCTCCTCCTGCCATTGTCCCTATGTTCCTGTTGCCACCTTCTGTCAGAGCACTGACACCAAGACAGGTGTCTTTCTTATTGTATCCCTGATGCCTAGCAGTTTGTTTGTGAATGAGTGCCACTCTTGTGTGCAAAAGAAATCTTTGTTTGAATTCTCATATCAGCATATAGTTGCTGGAATAATCAACACCAGCCATTTGGACTATTCCAAACTCACTGAATCATTGAACACTGCTGCATAGGTATGACTTGATCTATTACTGATGCGGGTAGGTCCTGGTTCACTGATATAAATATGGCCTCTTCTTACTATTGATCGAGACCGACAGCTGGGAAGCTCTTGACAACTCAGCAAGTTAGCCACTAAACTACAGAAATGTTTAAAAGACTCCAGCACTACAGACACAAATGGCCCTTAAACCTTTATAAGGCAGTAATTTCTGAGCACCAAGACCCAGCTCTTGTTCACTATAGACTGGAAACAATAGGCTCTCTAACTAATCTATATCTATCTATTTATGTATCTATACCTATAGATATATAAACACACACACACACAAATATAATGTAGATTTATGATGAACTAAAAATTTACTAGCTATTTGGAAATGTTAACTACCCTTTCGCCTGTGAGGACTTCCTCTAGCTAATTTGGATACTTAAACAGGTTAAGTAGACATGTACAGTGGAAAGCCTGAGGGCTTTGTACTACTCTCTGATGGCAATTTATACAGCAAGACATTCATGGGTTGAGATTTTAAGGAGTTTGAACACAATAGATAAAACCAACTTGACACTTGGACATTTTATTCTGTTTTTGTTCTTATTGACTTTTCAAAAAAATATGGTGATTCTTTTCAAGCACTGTGTTTGTGAAGGTCTTGATGGTTCTTTGCAAAGACGCACTACACTCGGGCACTTGTGCAATGTGGCAGAGCCTGTTCCATCCTCCCTCTTCACCTGGCTCCTCACTTGAATAGGTTCAAGGGCAAACAGCTTAGATAAAGGGATGTGGGGTGTTGTCATTGGGATGAAAGGTAAGATCATGGGTGGGTGAGGCCCATGTGGCCGTCAGATGTTTTGAAGGTTAACACCAGAAGGGAATGAAATGTTCTGGTGTCATCGGGCAGAACATTATGACTCTGGAAAGAACGAAAAGAATTTCTTTGGAAATACAGCCAAACACCCACTGCACCTTTTGTTTCACCTACTGAATCATGCCATGTTATATCCTATAAACAACAAAACAAGTCCTTGTTTGATCTTCCCTGGATATTGCCCTCCTCCTTTGAGAACCTTCCTTCTACTTTGTCTTTTTCTTTTAAAAGACATTTCCAAGTGTAAAAAGTACTTGGCATTTATATTAGTGTAGAGACACACCATTAAGCTTTAGCTTACAGCTGTAGAACCAGCTCACAAGTTTTTACCTGAGCCCCACTTTGGATACCTTTGGAACATGAGAACATTCCTTTGGTGTGATGTGATCATTTTCAAAATTCTTCAAAATCCAAAGAATTAAAACACAAAATTGGTGATAAGAAATGAGAGGCATTTTTTAAAAAAATCAGTGCCATCCAAAAGAACTGCCTGCAATGATGGAAGTGTTATCTGCAGTGTCCAGTGTGGCAGCCACTAATCACTTCAACCATCCGTGGCTAGTGTGACTGAGGAAGTGAAAAGTCATTTAAATTTAAATAGCCACATGTAGTTACTAATGTAGTCCTTTTTTTTTTTAACATTTATCTATGTCTTCATTGTAATCATAACTTGTATTAAATGGTTTTCTTTCTTTTTTAAAAGATTTTATTTTATTAATTTTTTTAGAGAGGGAAGGGAGGGAGAAAGAGAGAGAGAGAGAGAAACATCAATGTGCGGTTGCTGGGGGTCATGGCCTGCAACCCAGGCATGTACCCCAACTGGGAATTGAACCTGTGACACTTTGGTTCACAGCCCGTGCTCAATCCACTGAGCTATGCCAGCTGGGGCTTGATGTAGTTCTTGATGTCCCCAGACTCAGGGAGGCCTGGAGGGTGTGGATGGTAACAACCACTCAAAGTCAGATTTTGTGGGGCATCTGCAAATTCTCTGTAGTTTAAACACTTAATGAGATTTTCCAGTTACAAGTTGGGGCCAGCTCCAGACCAGAATCATACTTCCTTTTCCCATCCCTGGTGTGACAGTGACAGGCTTTCACCATTCTCTTTAGGTCTTCTATGGAAACTCAGACAGAACCTCCACAGTCCAGAATCTGCTGCGGCCCCCCATCATTTCCCGCTTCATCCGACTGATCCCGCTGGGCTGGCATGTCCGCATTGCCATCCGGATGGAGCTGCTGGAGTGTGTCAGCAAGTGCACCTGACGCCTGCGCAGCTCAGCTCCTGCCATGGATGGAGGGTGCAGAGCAGCCTGCAGGGCAGGGGCGGGGTGGGGGGGGGCGGTGTCTGACACACCACCCTGACAAATGGGGGCTACATTTTACAAGCTCTCTTCAATGCAGAGCTGAATAGAGAATTTCTTTCTTTCTGTTTTTTGAGATTTGGTTTCCAATTTCAATGAAAAAAAGAAAAGAAAAATGAACATATTCCCCACTCAGGGCCAAAGAAAATAAGAACAAAGAAAATGTCCCTAAAAACATCTTTCATACAAAAGCTTGTTAGCAGGGGTAATTTGCTGCTCCGTTTTCTTGCTTTTTTTTTTTTGTCACAGTGACACTGTAAAAGGTGTAGTCCCAGAGGAACACAAAACAGCCCTGATAATTTCTTTTGCTTTACTATATTCAAAACAGGAACATAATGTTTTTCATAAAGCATGGCTTTGAATGCAAAGGGGGAACAAGTTTGCAGTTTCTCTTAGCTAAGTTTTCATTAAATCATGGCCATTTAGGACTGTAGAGCACCAGGTATACAGAGTGAAAGGTTTCAGGGTGATTGGGTGGCAGAGATGAGTACAGTGGATGTGAGCCCGTGTCCCTTTCTCTTGAGAGCCACACATGACCAATGACCCCAGGTAGGAGGGCCTCACCTGCTGAGCTTGTACTCCTTACAGAGATTGGGGGGAGGTTCCAGAGCTCTCCTTACATACAGCTCCATGCTATGACCCATTTAGGCAAATTATCCTAGGCTGGGGTCACTAGTTAGGTGAATTCACAGGACAGGCTACACGAGTAACTAACAAAGTTTTCCTGTATTTAGGAACTCCAAATGACCAGAACACACGAGAATATCCCTTTATCCATGACTAGTTTCCAACAAGCTTAACACTTTGAAAACAGTTGACCCAAGAGGTATCACTGGCTATGTGGAGGAGGGCCATCAGCTTTGTATGAAGTGGTCAGGACCTACGTCCTAAGGGAGGTGTGGCTGCACCCCTGGTGAGCCCACCTTCCAACTTCTGCTGCCTTGCCTTGCAACACACAAACCTGCCTGTTCCTAATGCTGCAACCTCTCCTTGGGAAGGGACAGGCCTGGGACAGGCCTGGCCTTCCCCTCCTGGAGAAGCTCATTAAGCAGGGAGCTTGAGGGACAACAGTCTAAGTTTCCCTCGTCATTTATAGCGCAGCCTGAGTTTTCAGGTCCTCCCCAGGGAAAGGCTAACGACACAGTGAGTGGGCGGCAGAAGATTTGAAAGTAGAAACTGAGAGGGGGTGGAATCAGAGGACGGGGACCCTCCAACAACACTGCAGATTATCCTGGTCCTGATGCACTGTATCCAACTTCTCTGAGTTACTGTTTTCAAATGCCAAGCCAAGTGACTGGGCATCACATTCACCTTGTCTGTGAGTGGGCAGCCTCCCTAAATCCCCAATCCCTGGTGTTGTTGGGCTTAGTAGAACAACTTCATATTTAACCCAGCCTCTTTCTACTTCCCATGCTATATACTTGAACCTGGAAAAGTGCTTTTCCCTGTGCTATCTTCTCTCAAATATAAACAAATCAATTCAGGGTGGGGGAAAAATCCTTCTTTGGTCTTAGAATACACGGACAAAGGAATTTTGAAAAGAATACCGGATTGGACACCCTGAGAAGGAAAGTTGAATGAACTTTTATCATGATGTGTATTGTCAGAGAAGAGCCTAAGAGTTCAGGTTCTCTACAACTGGCACTCCAGGTACAGGAGGAAAGTCAAATTAAGGGACAAAAAGAATGAAATAGTGAGAGGCAGAGAAAAAGGTTCTCCAAATAATTGTTCATGTTGGAAATTTTTGTTTGGTAACAGCTTTATTGAGATAGTTCACATACCATACAAATATCACCCATTTAAAGTGTACAATTCAATGACTTCTAGTATATTCGGAATTGAGCAGTCATTATCACAATTGATTTTTTAAAAATTTAATCACCCCCAAAAGAAACCACACATCCATTAGCTATCACTGCCCCCCCCCCAACCCACTTGCCCATCCCAGCCTTACGCAACCACTGATCTATTTCTGTCTCTGTAGCCTATTCTGGACATTTCTTATAAATGGAATCATACACAATATGTGGTCTTTTCTGTCTGGATTCTTTCACTTAGCAGTGTTTTCAAGGTTCATTCATGTTGTAGCAGGTATCAATACTTCATTCCTTTTTATGGCAGACTATCATTACATTGTATGGATAGACCACGTTATACTATTCATTCATCCGATGATAGACATGTAGATTATTTCCATGTTTTTGGCTATTACAAATAGTGTTGCTATGAACAAGTGTGCATAACTTTTGGTATAGATATGTTTTCATTTATCTTGGGTATATACCTAGGAGGTAAATTGCTAGGTGACATGGTAAGTCTGTTTTAACTTTTGAGGAACTGTCAGACAATTTTCCAAAGTGACTGTACCATTTTACACTCACACCAGCAGTCTAGTAGGGTTCTAGTTTCTCTACACTTACTATCTTTTTTATTATAGCCATCCTGGGGTGTATGAAGTAGTATCTTATTGTGGTTTTGATTTGCATTTCCCCATGATAAATGATGCTAAGCATCTTTTCATGTGTTTACTGGCCCTTTGTATACTTCTTTGGAAAAATGTCTACTCAGACCCTTTGCCCATTTTAAAATTAGGTTGTCTTTTTATTGTTGAGTTGTAAGAGTTCTTTATTTTAGATACAATTCCCTTATCAGACATAGGATCCGCAAATATTTTCTCTTATTCCATGGGTTATCTTTTTACTTTCTTGATGGAGTCCTTTGAAACATACATTTTAAATTTTTGATGAGGTTCAATATTTTCTCTCTTCTGTTGCTGTGCTTTCGGTGTCATATCTGAGAAACCATTGCCAATCCCGCATCATAAAGATTTACTCCTGTGTTTTCTTTCAAGTTTTATAGTTTTAGCTCTTACATTTAGATCTTTGATCCATTTTGAGTTAATTTTTATGTATGGTATGAGATAGGGGCCCAATTTCATTCTTTGCATGTGAATATTCAGTTTTTCCAGCATCATTTGTTGAAAAAACTATTCTTTTCCCATTGCATGGCCTTGGCATCCTTACTGAAAAAAAAAATCAACTGATATAAAGATGAAAGTTTATTTCTAGGCACTCAGTCTGTTCCATTGATCCATATGTCTAGCCTTATGTCAGTACCACACCGTTTTAATTATTGTAGCTTTGTAGTAAGTTTTGAAATTAGAACATGTGACTCCTTCAACTTTGTTCTTCTTCAAGATTGTTACGGCTATTCTGGGTCCCTTGAATTTCCATATGAGTTTTAGGATCAACTTGTCAATTTTTGCAAAGAAGCCAGCTGAGATTTCACACTGGAAATTACTCAGTACTTCAGAATTTAATAAACAATGAGATACTGAAATCTGTAAAATGTTTATCTGCAGGTAATTTGTTTATATCAGCATATGATTTTTTTACTTCACTGAATTCATGACAGGATGTATAAAAAATAAAACGTTCACTGAGGAACATCTGAAACCTAACAGAATTTTGCTATTAAACACATGAACTATGTCTGTAGTATTCTTTCTTTTGTGGGGGAACTTTCAATTAAAAAATATATATGGACAACAGTGTGGTGATTCCTGGGTGGGGGTATAAGTGAACTAAATGGTAATGAAAAAATATATAATAAAAATTAAATTAAAAAACAATAAAAATATATAGTATAGCAAGAACTCATTCTGTTACCTTATGTTAACATGTTTACTTTTATTTTCAGAAATGCTAGAGTGTGGCCTGCACTAAGAGATTTTTTTAACTGTGGTAAAAAAAATACGTAACATATTGCAGGAGATTTTAAAACAACTAAATTAAATGCTACGAATAAAAAAAGTAGCAGTAAGTGTTGCCAAGATAAAGAAAAAAAGTCTGAGCTGATTTTGGTATTCAGTGTGGGAGGAGGTTACTTGGACAGAGCAAAGGTACTTCAAAATAAAGATGCCACTACGAATCTAGTCCTGGAACCCAGAAGATTGCACATTTAAAGTAAACCTTTGCGCAGATGCTGCCAGGAGCCCATTTTTTGGTCTACCTGGAATGCGACTGCTAAGGCCTGCCTACAAATGTACAGCTGTAAGGGCTGTTGCTTCCCCTGTGATCCAAGAGTAGCTCCAAGCTATAAGTAAACTTCAAGTTACAATGGTTCTTAACCTGGACAATTTTAAAGGGCAGATGTGAAGATCAAATAGGATAAATATATCTAATGTGCTTAATGAATTCTCCATTACTGGCAGTCAAGATTCATTGACATTCAACTTCATAGGGCTGCCAACTGGGGCACAAATACTAGCAATAGTGTTGTAATAGCTAGTATTTATTGAGAGTCTACCAAGTGCTTTGAAGGTTATCATCTCATCAAATCCTCACAACCACCTTGTGATGTAGGTACCATTATGATTATTTCTGTTTAAAGATAAGGTAACAGGCATAGGAAACTTCAGTAACTTGCCTAAAGCCACACAAGATGTAGGATTCCACTCAGGCAATTTGACTCCACATCCTGGCTTTTAACCACTTCACTAGTCTCCGGACCTCTAGTGCCTTATTTCAATGAAATATTCTATTCTCAAATTAAATCAATTACCAGCTGCTGGGAGATGGGAGAAAAGGTGGTAAACAAATCACCTATGTATGAATCTCATGTCAGTTTCTACACATGGAAACACTGTTTAGTACTGTTGAAGGGCAGGCTTTACAGTGAACATACCCAGCTCCAAATCCTAGCTGACTACCTCTGGCAAGTTAATGTAAAGTCCACAGGCTTCAGTTTTGTCATCTATGAAATGGGGATACAACCCATTTCATTGTGCTGTTGTGAAAAGTAAATGTAACAATAGAAGTAAAACACTTGGCATTGTGTCCTGCCATAGTAAGTGTGAACATAAAAAAAAAATCACAGGTTTCCATGACTTAAGGAGAAACCCGGAGCAAAGAAGCTGGTGACACAGGGCTTATAAGAATGCCAAGCATTGGGTTTT